AATTGCCTCCTCTTTCTTACACATGATGATACTTGACCTATTTTATATTTTGATTGTGTTTTATAGTTGTGTGCTAGGAGCCATTCTAGAACTGGCAGAACTGGAATTCTATTACTTACTAGGTCCTCACTATTTTTTACTGTTTAGATCCTGTCACCTAATCACATTACTTTCTACCAGTATTATCCTATGCATAAATCACAATCAACACAATGAAACTAGTTGGCGATTAATCTTGGCTTGGGCACAGAACTGCACTAAAGCACCTTCCTTCCAGTTCTATCATGTTAAGGCTCAATTTACACAACGTGTGGGTTCACACCACACAGGTGGTGGTGGTGGTGGTGGTTTTTAACCATCTTCACATGTGCCAATTGCATGGTGGCTCATTTCCCAAATTGCCTTCACCAGCTTTGGGTTGTGGTAAGGTCTGAACCCAGAAATGGTGGTTTGCTAGGTTAGCAGACCATCCAGAAGCCATGGCCTGTTAAACCCCAACAAGCCACCTTTGCTGGGTTTGGATGACATCAGAAGCTGTGGTGGGAGCATTCGATGTAACTGGCCGTGGTTTTTCAGTAATCCTCGATGGCTGCAGTGATCACTGTGGGCCAGATCAATGAAAGACAGTCTCCTTGTGGCAAACTCCTACAGCACAGAGACAACGTATAGAAGTGCAGCCCACTTCAGATTGTGTGGCTATTTCCCTATCAACCACAACTCCAAAGAAAAGTATAGTGACACAGGAAGTCACTCCATGGTTAAGTCCACCAATGTGATCACTGCTTATGTGCATTGCCAATAAAACATAGAAGGCTGACACAGGATAATGTCTTGGGTGTCTTCCATGCAGCAGAAGGCATGTACCTATGGATTCCAGCTTCTTCTGCTTTCCCTGTGGTATCCTATTGTGCCAGGCAAAATGTTCTCAATGAAAAGTGCACACAGACACAGTCCTTATAAGTCAGGAAGACATTTATACAACAGGGATGCAAGTGAGAAGGATTGCTTGATAAGATATAGCCAAACAGGTGCACACAATGCAGAGATGATCATTAAAAATACTCACTCATCCACGTGATTTTGCCTCCTCTTGGCTTTGTGTAGCCAACTGGTACATAACAAGAATGAAGCCAACTCAACCACAGTGAGAAAAAAGTGCACATAGACAAACATACACACAACATTTGACTTTGGAAAGCTTTAGCACACTTAGTTACTGGTGAATCGTTGCAGACAAGCAATACAAATAGGGGCACAAAGCACATTATGAATCAGATGTCACAATTTGTCTATGCGAACACCAAATCGGGTATACCAAACAAAGGAGCTGGTTCACACAGAAAGTTTTCCCTGCATGGGTTCCTCCATATGGAACGTCATGTAAGAAGATCACACCTGTGTCTCTTTTATCAGTTTTTGAGTAGTCACATTTTTATAATGGATTTCTAAAGTGTGTACACACACAGAGAGAGAAACACACACAACCCAGACATTTTTCACATGCGATGATGCATTAAGACAGACACCTCTCAGCTGAACCCATGGAGGAAAAAGTCATGCGTGAAGCTCCCTGGACACAGGACATTTCAGCTTTTTGTATATATAATGCAGCACTGCAAACCTGACAGGGGAATTTTAAAGGTGTGACTTCATCAGGGAGGTGGCAAAAAGGACGTGGGTGAAGGATCCCCACACTCAGGCTTGCCTGGCACTGATGTCACTTGCCTTTTGGCACCAGGCTCAGATGGCTTCTCGGCTGTGGAATCTCACAGCTCCAAACACCTACCTGCCCACTGCTTTCAGCTGGCTGAACTGAATGAACCTCTCTGAACTGCTTCAGTTGTTAAAATTTGGTTTTGGTGAACCAAAACTTGGTGAACTTTTAGTACATTTTACTCTTAATTCGTATTTTATATTGTATTTTATTAATTGCTGTATATTGCTCAGAGAGCTTCCACCACTGGGTGTTCTAGAAATAAAATGGACAACCACCGTGATATTAGTAGTTATTGATGGGTTAAATTCATCCAGACTTTGGCATGCAATTTCGCCTGTCTACAGGGTAGTTTGAGGCTCTGGTGATTTGCACATGCTTATTTGAAGTTAATCTGTATAGAAGAGTGGGAACTGTGGAAGTAAGAAGGAAATTTGTTTGGAATTTCAAAAGTAAGATGTTCAGAGAGGGCATCACTCATCCTGGCCATGGTAGGCAGTATTTTATGCAGATATTAAGCTTCCTTTATTTCTTTTGCCCTCAAGGGACCTCCTGCGCCAGCCCTTCCTCATGCAACCCCAGAACCACGTGGACGCAATCAATTCCAGACCGGATCAGGTCAGCAAAGCTCCTTTCCACTGGCTCTGCTGAGCTGCCTCATTTGGTTAAGGATTCTCCAGGTTCCCATTGTGCCGATGGTGGGTGCAGTCAGCTCATGAACACCATTCTTCATGAGCCCCATCGGCGAGGGTGTTCAAAGATAGGCTGGACATGCACCTGGTGGGCATGTCATGAGTGGAGCTGGCTGGAGCCGGGGGTCAGACGAGATGGCCCAGGAGGCCCCTTCTGACTCGCTCTGTTTCTCCGTTTTTATGTTTCTGTTGGATTCTGCCAAATTGAATAGTATAGAGAGCAAGCCATGCTATGGGCCCTAGATTCTGGGAATCAGAAGTTCAGAGGCTGATTGTCTCAATTTGATTGCACCTTTAAGATCTTGACTCCTATTATAATCAAGGGCCCCAGTCAGGAAATCAACTTAGAATGCATCTAACTTCAGTTACGGCACAAGCTGAAAAATAAATAAAACCACTGGACTAGTACTAGCAGCATTCTAAATTTATTTGCTTTTAAGGGAACCGTATTGCTTCAGTGGAGTGCAATTGCAAGTCGGTGTGTTATGGTTTGAGAACTGGTGATTACTACAGAGATTATCATAATGAATTACTGCCGTCGTTATTTTCAAACATTTTTGTTCCATTCAGTTCCCCCAAGAAATATAATAATGTGGAAATTAAGTACTGAATTCAATGGAACTTAGTTCCACAGAAATGGAGGGAGAGACTGTATTTCAGAGGCAGAAGGCATCCTTTGCATGAAAATAGCCTCAGACAAACCCGCAGGTGAATTGATTTCAGGGGGAAAGTGGGACTGAGAAAGACTTCGGTGGCCTGAGACCTCAGATTACTGAAGGGCCCAGTGGTCTGACTGGTTATAATGCACCTTCATATGCTTATGTGGCCAGCATCACAGACTAAATGAAGTACCTGGTTATCCAAGTCCCAAGCCAGGTTAGGAATTGCAAACTGTTCTCTGTCTAAACATGCACAGGACTGCGTCTTTGTCCAATTAGGAGTGCAATTTACACTCTCCATAGCACGTCATTTCAACTAAAAACAAAGGTCTGGTTTAACTTAAAGCTAAACTGTGGCTCATTCCGAATCTCTCCTTCTTTGGGACAACTGGAAAGAAGGTTCTGCTTCCATTTCCAATTCACTGCAGTTCAGCATTATGTCTGCATCTTAAATATTACCTGATCTTAATTATGTATTGATGCTGCTGTTTTATAAATCAGTTCCACAAAGTGCTTCTTCATGAAGAAGTTGACTTGTTTCACCAAATCAAGTTGTTTTTGTAACTTTTGTAGTATGTTTTTATTTAAATAAAAAATTTCAACCTAACCCTAACCCTAATCCTAACTCTAACCACAGTTTGTCTGGATGCAGATCTAACCTTAAACTGCAGTTAGTTAAAAATGGAAGTGAAATATTTTAATCTCCTGCGGCTGCAGTGGAAATGGACAGAGGGGACAATGGATCCAATGCCATTTCTGTAATGCAAAACCCATTTGGTGTTATTTCCAAATGAGGTCAAAGCCTCTTGTGTTGGCCACAGCTAAAACAAAGCCACTTAGTTTCTATAGAATAGATCTGTTTGTTCTGGGGTTGTGTTTGGTTTTTATTTTGCTTTATTTGCAGGAGATGCATTTTATCTCTTTATGTGTTTGCCTATAATATAGACAAAATATTCAAAATGCAGGAGTGTAACCTAAAAGTAGTATTGCCACAGCTGTATCATTTGGTGGTGGCCATTCCAGCTGGGTGCTACCTAGCGTAGCTGGGTAGGAATCAGTCCTACATATGTGGATGCATCATTTACAGACAGAACAACCCCTGGGAATATGCACAAGGGACGCAAATCGAATGCTCCTGTGGCTACGGGAGAAAGGGACAGAAACACAGTGGGCCAGTTTGAGTATTTTCAAAGCACTGCCTGCATGTGCTTGGCCAAGTGACAGACTCATTCACCAAAGGGGCAGCTACAAATGGTTTACCAACAACAATTTTTCAATGAATATGCATTTATATATACTGCACGGATAACATGAATCACATTTGACAGTATCAATCAGTTTTTGATGCTTTGCTGGTAACTGACATATGTACACTGTAGTTCCACAAATCATTTTATTTGGAACATCTGTCATGTATATATTCATTTCCCAAAATACGATATATGGCATGACTTTATGAAGTACAAATGATAGATTACTTGTATCACAGATTACGAGTTTTAAACGTATTTGGATTCTTTCAACATAATGCATTTTATAGATCATTTGTATAATTTCATAAACCACATCATCTGGGATGTGCCCCCAGAGGCAGCATATAAACCCATTTACAAATATTAAAAAGAACTGGGGGGAGATATTTGCACAAGTATTTTCTATGGGCCCAAGTTGATGACAGTTTCTGAAAACTAGAAGCGCATCAGCTGTGGCATTGTTGACCAGTAATGGCATCCTTTAGTACTTCCTCAATGGAATTTGGGAGGAAGAATGGCCATAATTAAGTAGTCCCCCTGCCCTCATTTTTTTTTTTTTTTTTGAGGCGGGGGGACAAAATTGGAAAGCAAAAGGCCCTTATTAAATGTTCGAGATCTAGAATGGCGAATGGTTGGCCTCCATGAAAATTGACATATGTCAGCTTCCTCCTTTAGATCCTACCATTCTGCCCACCTGTGATTTGATAGTAAGGAGGGGCTTTTCCTCGGCCGACTCCTCCCTCGGTATCTCCTTCATCACCATGGCAACAGCCTTATCTGCCGCCCTAGAGCTTTTCCCCTACAATAGCGAAATCAACAATGACTTGTGTCAGGAGGAAACTTAGTATACCTGCGACAGATATAGAAATACCATTATTATCATGATCATTAGCACCATCATTAATAGCAGCAGTTAAAACAGTCTAGAAATCAACACAAGTAAGTGGTGGAAGTGACGTTTTGTTGCTGAAAACACACCCTGCAAATTCTGCCATTTCCAACCTCTCTCCCCCTCCACAAACATATTTGCACAGTTGTTAATAGTGGTGGTGAAGATATACGTGTGGGTATGATGCCCGATGCCACATCTTTAGGTTGTAGGAGCCATTCGGTGTGATGCGTTGCTTCCTGGAGGGACCTGAGGGTTTCCCAAACTGGTGGATGCTGGCAGGTTTGTGCATCTTTGGACTACTGCCGTTTTAGACCTCCATTTTATAAGGCATGGCTTCTCAGGGTGAGCAGTTGGGCTACCCAACATAAACAGTGGCTAACAGACTTAAGGCATCATCTTACGCACCTTTAGACAGAAAAGAGGCTTGTAGGCACATGTTGCAAACAAATCAAGGAATCCTGCAGTCTGAGACTTGCCTCAGCTTAGGTGCCTTACATATTGCATACCACTCTCTTTAAACTTATATGAAATACGGTGCTAATACTGACCTACTGTATAAGGTGGCTGCAAGGAAAACATGCTGACCTACCTTACAAGGTTGTTAGGAGCACTGCAACAATATCAAGGTGATAAAGCATTTTGAGTACTCTAGAGCTGAGCATAAATGCATTATGTTCTCACTAACTGAATAGCAGGCCTTGACACTGAAGCTAAAGCTGTAGGACCGGGCACCATGTGTGATATTAATTGTCGCAGAGGTTAAAACACCCGGCATAAATAATTTTTCTAGCTTCAATTTGGAAAAGAACGTGACAAACGCTTTCATTGTCGGTTGACCTGAGGTGAATTCTGATACTCTGTAAGAATACTTGAATATATTCATCATGTCATCAAATTGTTGCTTTGTTTCCACAATCTCCTTTGTTTCCACATTCCACTTTGAGGAAAGCTTCAAACAGCCAAGTTATCATGCGATAACTCAGATCATCAGGTATATTGCATTGTGAGTCCAAGACTCTCTTTGGCTGCAATCTTTTACCTATTTACCTAGGAGTAAGTCCTTCTGAGTTCAATGGCCTTACTTCCAGGTTAACAGTACCTATTAAAGGTACCTGTTCTTCCTATTTCTTAGAGGTAGAAGCTGCTCATTAGGATATTGCTGTTCTTCATCCTTTCCTCCAAATTTAGCTATTAAGAGCAAGTAAATATACTGATGAAAAAGGGAAGGGTGTCAAAGTAGGACTGAACGAAAAATTGCACTTATTCTCAGAGAAGCTTCTTCTCTTTACATGATTTAAGGAGTTCTTTCTTAGACACATAAACAAAGCACAGTAAGAAGACGCACTGCCTTAGAAGAAGAAGAAGCAATTATAAAATAAATAGTATTTTAAAATTAAGGATGGCAGGAGCTGAAGAGTTCCTTTAGGGAAGACTAGGTCCCAAGTTCTCAAGAGCAAATGTTTCCTTAAACTCTCACTGTTTTTAACATCCCAAGTGGCAGCTAGCCCTGTTCACAGCATGAAGACGTATTTTTTAAAGGTTCCTTAAAAATATATATAACTTCTCTTTAAAAGGTTCAAAAAGAATATTGAAAATTCATTCATTCATATTTTAAAAATTGCATCTGTCTCCATCTTAAGGATGGTAGGCATGAGAGGCATCAAAAGAGCTCTTCGGATCAGAAACAACAGCAAATAATACATCAGAAGTGGACTTCAATTCTGAACATTATAATTTCTTAAGGAACTATCCTATGTATGCTTAGACAGAAAAAAGCCTACATTCCCAGCATTCCCCAACTGTATAGGCTGAGGCATGCTGGGAGTAAGAGGCCTTTCCTCTGTGTAAGCAAGCACAGAATTGCACCTTTAGTAGCTCAGCTGGTCAAAGAGCCAGTAGGCAGAAAGGGCTCCATGGGGATATGAATATGAGAATTTTATGATTTAACAATTTTCCCACAGTTCAGGGGGCTTGGTTGCAACACTGTGGGTCAGAACTGGCAGTGACCGCCTCAAACCAAGAGTGAGAGGTCTCAGAATAGACCCTGCAGATGAAAAGCTTGACGAGGTCACACGGTATTCATACATTGCTTGTACTGCACTGTATAAAAGTTGGAGAGCTGCTAGTGGTCCTCACAGTTCTAGACAAATAACAGCTTCAAGACTATAAACCATTTTTCAAAAGATTCTCCTCCTACCCCTGTAGTTATGGTATAGAAAAATAACAGATATTTAATAAGGTGTGGAAAAAGTATCAGGCCCAGTTGAGGGCCTAAATATTCAGTCTTGGAGACAGCAGCACCTAAAAGTTTCATACGGACACCTGCATATCAGTTTATAAATGCAAGCTTGTTTCACTCCATCAAGAGCAAGATGAATCCAGTAACACAAATATAACATTTCATTTCCCATATGTAAAATGCATCCACAGAGCAACAGATTTTAAAAATTAGACACTGGCAACCCAAGCAACATTTCAATATATCCATTTCCATTCAGTGCCCAGCAATGACCCTACCATGCATGCTTGTACCGAGTGTCATAACATGTTAGCATGCTGGTCCTGTTACACCCCTTCAACATCCAACAAACTTCAAAATGCACTGGCGTAAACAGTATTCGCAAGGAGGCTGTGGTGCTTTATCTGATGAGAAGCAGAATCTGGTTGCTAAGCATAACAAAAGTCTCCGGCCAAATATGTGCTTATTCCGTTTATGAGTTGGCCAATAAATCTGTGGCTACATCCTCTGGGGTGCTCTGTGGGACATACTTTTGAACTGCATGCGGCTTCAGCATGCTGAATCTTTGTGCTGAATGGGGGGATGAAGCACGCTCGGTCAGCTAGAAAGGATGCATTGGGATACATGCAGTGCTTTTAAAATGTCTTGCGGAGGAGGCAGAAACCCACCAAGGCAAAGATCAGCTCACATTTTTGAAGCCAGAGCCACTTTTTCTTCAAGGTCTCACCTACTGCCTGAAAAGAGTCATGATACTTGCATTAGTGCTCAATTTCTCAATAATAAATCCATCGGGTGGCTGCAATCATGATAGCACAAAACTCCAAAGCAAAAAGCACTCATTTCCTGTAATTCCTGCTGCTTTAGTTTGCTTCAGTTTTTCAAACAGAGGCCAAGATAGAAGCAGTAACAATTAGGGATGGGGAAGAAATTTTTTCCATTTTACACTTTTGAACCAATATGCAAACTGAAACAGTTATCCTTCCGAATTCACTGGGGTGGTATAGCCACTCTGGATTCCATGTGGTTCAGCACCACGGATAGGTCCTTAGAAGTTCAGATTAAAACTGAGGTGGATACCCTGACCTGAAGCTACCAGCTTCCACTGATGGGACATGTCTCCAGTGAAGTTTTACTATGTTTTCTCTTCCCTAAGATGCTTTTGTCTGTCTTGTACCTAGGGCCAAGCAATTCTGTGGTGTCACCATGAGTTCTAGTATCATGGAAAAGGAAGAAAGAGTCCTTCCTATTTAGGATGTAAGCCAATGGGCTGTGCCTTTACAAGCATCCTGAATGATATTTCCCACCAATGGCCATCAATCATGGGTAGAGAAAAATGTCACATGCAGAAGCGTTCAACAGCAGAAGCTGAAGTCAAACCATCATGGAAGAGCTGTGGATGGCAATTTGGATGGCAATGGCAACCTGTGGTTTGCTCAGACTGAGCAGGATGTGAAGAAATTAGTAGGAGAGGAGAAGGGAACAAGTAAACAAAGACCAAATGCCAAAGATCGCAGCTTATTTTAGCTTATGGCTCTTAATACCAATAAGAGTTTCTGAGCATTCAGGAAGAGGTAAATTAGCACTGCACAAATACAGGAAGTGACAGAACAGCTGTTGTTGGGGGGAAGGGAGTGGGTCTAGGTGAAGGGGGCTTGGCTATCTGTGGAAGCTGTGGGGCTGAGGCTCTGCACTAAGTTGTCATGCATTAGTGAAAGGTTTCGAAAATGCACAACTGATAAACTATAGAGGAGAGTTACAATGTTGTTATAAACTAATGGTTTCCATGTGGATAATCATGGAAGAAGGTGTTGATCACATTTGCTTTTGCTCTGGGTGCCTTTGGTGTTCAATATGCAAGGGGTTTAGTTTCCTGTTTCTATTACTGCTTTAGTAGCCTAGCACTCAACACTTCAAGAAAGAGGTGTTTTTGTTTTTTTGTTTTTTTCTGGAATGGCTAATTTTACACTTGCCAGTTTCTCCTAATGAATAGCTCATCACTGCTTGGCAAAGCAGGAGAAATTATTTCTTTCATACATGTGATGCCATAGAGAACGGGGTAGATGAGCTTGACAAATACAAATTTGATCTGCAATAACCAGATCCTGAAACCAACATGCAGAATGCACAGTGTCATGCATAAAAAAAGACTGGGGAAGGTTTCTTGTACACTGAGGTAGGGCAAAAGTAATCTCTGTTTTCAGAGAATACATTTTAAGACCCAGAGCCATTTCTGATGTTCCTGTTTTCATCCAGGAAGATTATTCCTCTGACTAAAATGGTCATGCTGGAGAACCCCAGAAACATCATAGCATACAAAGTACTGGATTTACAAGAGCCATTAAAACTTGTGAATTCCAACAGTACTTTTATGCGAGCAATTTCAGGGCGAACTTCTTCGAGCTGAAATTGTCATGCTTGATGTAGTACTGACATAAAGGATTCTGTAATATAATTGTTGTCTGATACATTGCTCCATAGCCAGCATTTTGTGAGTATTGGCTTATTCACAAGCTACATTTTGGCTAAAATCACAACAGATCCTGCTACACACCCAGCAACATCAAACTGCTTGCTACAGTATTCACAAATGTCAGTTCCTGTCCTCGGCAATGCCACAGGGATGTTGGGATATCTTTCTGGAGCAATT